GTTGGTCCGAACCGAGTAGACTGCGGGGCCACCTCGGGGCAACTCGAGGGCTAGTTTTACTCGTAGGATGTCTCATCCGGTGTTGCCCTGAGAACGAGATATGTGCAGCTCCTATCGGGATTGTCGGCGCATCGTGCGGTCTTGCTGGTCTTGTTTTACCATTGTCGAAATGTCTTGTAAACCGGGATTCCGAGTCTGATCGGGTCTTCCTGGGAGAAGGTCTATTCCTTCGTTGATCGCGAGAGCTTGTCATGGGCTAAGTTGGGACACCCCTGCAGGGTATAATCTTTCGAAAGTCGTGCCTGCGGTTATAGGCAGATGGGAATTTATTAATGTCCGGTTGTAGACAACTTGACATCAGATCCGAATTAAAACGCATCAACCGTGTGTGTAGCCGTGATGGTCTCTTCTCGGCGGAGTCCGGGAAGTGAACACAGTTTCTGTGTTATGTTTGACGTAAGTAGGAGTTCAGGATCACTTCTTGATCATTACTAGTTGACGACCATTCCTTTTTCTCTCTTCTCGCTCTTATTTGCGTATGTTAGCCACCATATATGCTTAGTCGCTACTGCAGCCTCACCACTTTATCCCTTCCTTTCCCTTTAAACTTTGCTAGTCTTGATACCCATGGTAATGGGATTGCTGAGTCCTCGTGGCTCACAGATTACTACAACAACAGTTGCAGGTACAGGTTTTGCGATGATCATGACGCGAGAGCGATGTTTGCTTGTTTTGGAGTTCTTCTTCTGCTTCTTCTTCGATCAGGGGATAGGTTCCAAGTCGGCAGCCTGGGCTAGCAGGGTGGATGTCGTTTGAGTTTCTGTTTGTGATTCATCCGTAGTCGGATGTTGATCTTATGTATTGTGATGTTGTATTCGTGTGACGTTGTATGCCTCTTGTATGTATCCCCATCTATTATGTAATGTTGATGTAATGATATCCACCTTGCAAAAGCGTTTCAATATGCGGGTCTATCCTTGATGGGACCTTCGAGTTCCTTTTGGATAGGATCGCATATTGGGTGTGACAGGGGTCTTATAGACCGACCCCCTAGGGATACAATGGTAAAGTTACATGGGCGCAGGGCCCTGGTGTCATCGTCAGGAGCCGGTTGTTGGGTCCGTTGGCTACCAGGTTTGCGGGGAGCGGGTCCCTTGGTAGGCGCGACACTGTAGGGCATTGCCCCCTGCATTACGGGATGGCCAGTGTCTTGGGTCTACAGTGGCGGGGCACGCGGGCGCCGGTCGCCCGGGTCTACAGGGCGACCGCAATGTAGCCACGCTTCCCCGTCGTGGAGAGTTGCCTTGTCGTACGGATGGATGGGACGACCGCTGACGTGCTGCCAGCCGGCCGGCCGGGTTGCCGCATCCAGCCGGCCTGCGCTGTGCAGTGCCTACCCGCGGTCATCCCCCCGACATGTACCATGGAAAAATTATTCTTTAGATCATGACAATTTCTTTAGTTACAACATGGCAAACTTATTATTTTCACCATGTTAGACTATTTTTTGGGTGGAATGGAAAGATTTTTTTTATTCCATGACATTTTTATTCGTTAGGCCATGATACTTTTACTATTCATACCAGGTTCATTTTGTTAGTTAGGCAATGGTAGTTTATTTTGTAGCATGGCACTTTTTGTTCACCATTCAATTTTTGTGTGATGTTTTGTTGATTCTTTTGGTAGCATGCCATTACTTTATACCATGACATTTTTATCATTTTAGACCGTGGCAATTTCAATTTATGTAGCATGGCATTTAAAAAAAATCCAGTACATGATAAATATTTTTCAGGGCATTAATCTGAAAATTGTTGTCATGTAACCCAAAAGACTTTTTTCTCCAATTTTGTAATTGTATCATTTTTTCACATGCCATTTTCTAATGTTTCAATACTATTTAATATATTCTCATGTCATTTTTCACATTCTTCCACTCGTTTCCA